TAACGTCACTTGGCATCACGCTTCTCACTGCCAGACACGGGCGCCATCAGTCGCCAGTGTCGGAGACAAGTGACGCTGTACACCAGTGCTAGACGCGTCGGCCGCTGGTCGGTATGCGCCACCGGAAGCGTCCGGAGGCGCATACCGGTTTTCGTCTCGAAGCGTTCGGCGGCGCAAAACTCGCTGCCGGTTTTCTCAGCTATATCCCAGCGACAGCGAGATGGGCACGACCGTATCGCGGTGGTCGCCAGCGTGCCCCCAGGGCAACGGGCATCGCAAGCAATCCACTGCGTCACGTCATATGGATGAATATAGTACGCATAATCAAAATCATGCATCTAAATAATGCCAGCCTGACGGTCGCGCAGGTGGCCCGCACCGATATCAACGGATCACAATATTGTTGTCACTAGTTTCCACTTCAACGTTACACACCAAGATCCGTTTCCGAGCCATCCGTTGGCTTTACTTTCATTTGCTGTCGACGAAGACCGGTTTTGGAGGTCAAACGGGTCAGTCATCTCTGCCCAAGACCGCACACAGACCGCACGACCCCTCGCGGCGCCTCGCCTTCTGAAGCGCCGCGGGCGCAGCCGACTTCAGCGCTCGCAGACAGCCGCTGCCTGTCGCCTATCAAAGCTGAAGAGACCCATTCGCCGCTGTCCCTCCGAGACGCCGCCGGGCGCCGGTGTGTGTCGCTTACATAACGGCGCGAGTGGCCGGTAGTGGGCGGTGGGCGGCCGGTCCGACACCTCGGTCGCCACCGGACCACCGTTCGCCCAGCGCTCGTGTGCCCAGCGCTGGCACCACGCCAGCCGGCCGTGGTCGCAGCTATTTCCACGCGGTGAGCCGGCTCACAATCGGTACGATCGCCGCCACACTAGTCGGCCAATCAGCGGCCGCGCCCGCCACCAGCCGGCCAATCAGCGACCGACCGCGTGGAAACGAGCCGAATCACGTGCTGTTGGCCGGCTGCCAGGCAACAGTTCCGTTCGCAGCCGCCAGGGGTGCAGCGCGCTCGACCCAGAAATCGACCCGCGGCGCTGATTGGGCTTCGTGAAGGTCAGCAAAGGCTCACGGGTCGCCACGGCGGGCGGTCGGTGTCAGTCGCCGGGTATAACCCGCGTCAGAAATGTGAGGGCTAGGGGCGGCCTAGGTCGCTGGGAAGAGACTACTGCTGCCGCTAGTCACAAGTCGGCTCAACGGTCACCCGACTGGGGTCCCAACCAAAGCACCGGCACGACGCCGGCTGGGTCTGTTAACCGGGGAAGTCTAGAGGCCCGTCCGTAGTCAGTCCCCGAGTTGAATTTGGAACGCCGCGGCACTGCTCCACTTTTCCTCGTCTTTACTTTCATATTTACGACATTGTACATCTCAGCCGTGCAATGGTCTTGCAACCCGAATAATCATGTTCCCCCCCCCCCCCCTCCTACAAAACAAAAACGGAAGAGGAGACCCTTCACACAACACCTGCGACTAGCAAATCTCTCCCAACAGTCACTATGCAAAAGCAATGTGCGTCCTCGCCTCCGGCGGACAATCCAATATGGCGCCCGAAACAAACAATTCAAATGTCAATGAATTCAAAGGCGAGATTGATGCAAATCCAGCAGCCTCCAAACAATAAGGACTACTGCAACAGTCTATATCAGCCCGTTCCGGCCCAGTTCTCGGCACCAGTCGGTTGGCGGCCGAATCTCGCCTCGGCACGAGCCGCCCGCTGCACGGAGGGGCGCGCCGGCGCACGTCACGTGCCGCTCCCACAAACAGGCCCTCCCCGCCGCGCCGGCGGAGCACGACCAGACCGCGTCAGCGGGCGGCGGCGGCGGCGGCGGCGGCGCAGAGGTCATATTATCACCCCGCGCGGGCCGGTGCGCTCCCCAAGGCCGGCGAGCACGCAGCGCACGCCGCGCGAGGCGAGGCTGAGAGTCCCGGCCGGGCGAGGCTGGCCGCTGCCGCCGCCAGCCGGCCACGTGCAGCCGTCCGACGCGGCGGCCAGATGGCCGATAGCGCGCCCGGTCGCAGCGACAAGAAATGGGTCGGACGCCTAGCGCCGGTGCTTTTTGGTCTGGGCAGGCGATCCTCGGGACTGGCGACACCCGACTGCAACAATTTCTTCTTTTTTGCCGTGGATTCCCCATCCAATAACGACTTACGGTCCTCTTTTTGACAGTGTAACGGTAGCACATCGGGAAGCGTTTGCGCCTTTATCTGGAGCAGACCAACCGTACGATTAGAAGCGTGAGTCGGCCAGGGACACCCACCCCGGCGCTTTTCCGAAGCGATGGCCTGGCGGACTCGTCAACGCCTCGTACGCTCCCAACGTCACAGAGGCGTGCCCAGATCGGTCACGTGGGACGACGAGCGCCGCTCCACACGCCGCGGCATGACGTCAGAACGACCGGCGCCCAGTCCGTCATCGCAATGGCGCGGTGACGCGCCTCGTCCGCCTGGCAGCCGCGGGCGGCGCCCGTGGGCAGGGCGCCGCCGACCGCGGAGGAGGCAGCGGGCCGGTCGGTGGGCGGGATCGGGGCTGACGTGGCGGCGCCGGCACGCAGCAGATCGGCACGGGCGGACCCGGCCGCCCACCGACGCACCCGGCGATCCCGGCCGCCAGCCGGTGCCACCGTCACCAGGACAGCGGCAGGCATGGCGCGCTGTGACGCCGACACACGTGGGCCACAGGGGGAGGAGCTGGGCACCGTCCGTGGTGGGAAGGAGCCGAGCACGGGGGCAACTGGGCACCGTCAGTGGCGGAGGAGCTGAACAGGGGAGCAACTGGGTAGCGTCAGTGGCGGAAGAGGAACTGAGCACCGTCAGTGCCGGAGGAGCTGAACAGGGGAGCAACTGGGCAGAGTAAGCGGTGACAGAGGAGCCGAGCTGGGGAGCAACTGGGCACCATCAGTGGTGGAAGAGGAGCTAAGTTGGGGAGCATCCCACGGAGTGAAGAGAGAGAGAGAGAGGGACAGAGCAGCCGGACGGGGCGGCAGCGGACGGGCGGAGGCGGCTCGAGCCCGGCGGCGGCCGCAGCCTCTGCGTGTCCAATCGATGGTCTCCGGCGGCGGCGGCGGCAGCGGCCGTGGGGAGGGGGAGGGGGAGGGGGCGGGCGGCTGGGACGGGTGGGAGGAGGCCGAGTGCCGGCGGCCATCGATCGGAGGGCCCGCCGGGCCGCGCTGACACGCGGGATCGTTACCAGAGCGGCCACCCGGTCACGCCTTGGCACCGCCGCCGCCGCCGCCGGGGACGGGGCGGCCTCACTGACCTACAGACCGGCAGACACGTGACCGGCGGCACGGCCGCCCGGCCAAACAGCGAGAACAGCCGGCGCAAAAACACAGCCGAGGCCCAGCGAGTGCAGGCAGGAAACAGTAGTGGCTCCACTGGCTTCCTAGGAACGCCAATGACGGGCCAGCATGTGTGCCGCTGCCAGCATACCTTTCAAAGGACACCAGGCGTTCTGCCGCGAACGTTGCCCATTGCCAAACTTCTCATCCAATATCCGCACAAGTCTTGGAACACTTCATGAGAAATGCGATGTCGGATGCGGTCTACCAAAGCATTTGCTGGGCGCATCGCAGTTCCGGCATGCTTCGAGCACGCGCGCAGATTTCAGGATCCTGTTGTCAATCCTGTCCCAGCGAGCCAAATAGTTGCACCACCGCGCGCCATGACTGTCAGATACCATATATAAGCCGACGCGAGGAGGGCCCGGTGACATGAACATCTTCCTGTCAGCGAAACTGTGACACATTGTTACACACACGCTGGGTAGCGGGTCCCACAGGCGGCGCACACCAAGGCTCACGGCCGCACGAAGCCGCTAGAGTAGGCTCTCGGTTGCTCATCCCGTACCCACAGCCTTGCACTTCATCGACACGCAGCTTCGGAACAGCCCGGACCCGATGATTCGACGCTCGGCGAGTGACGTTCGGAGCCTTCACCTGACCGGTTGCCAATTGCCCTCAAACTCGAGCCGAGGCGAGTCGACCGACGCATACGCCGCGCGCCGGGAAAAACGGGGCCAGGGGAAGGCCGGCCAGCGTCTCGCGTCGCCTCGGCCGTGCCAAGCGGCCACCACCTGGGATCTACCGCCCTGAGCTCTGCCCTCACCGCCAGCGCCGTCCGCTGACGGTCCGGTAACGGACGACGTTCGCTTGAGTTCAGCCAACGACGGGGGACGTTCGCTAGAGTCCGGCCAACGACGAGAGGCGTCCGCTCGAGTCCGGCCAACGACGGGGGACGCCAGCTCGAGTTCGGCCAACGACGGAGGACGCTCGCTGAAGTCCGGCAAACGACGGAAGACGCCCGCTCGGGTCCGGCCAACGACGAGGGAACGCCCGCTCGAGGTCAGCCAACGACGGGGGACGCTCGCTGGAATGCGGGCGGCGTCGAGAGACGTTCGCTCGAGTCCGGCCAACGACGGGGGACGCCCGCTCGAGTTCGGCCAACGACGGAGGACGCTCGCTGGAGTCCGGAAAACGACGGAGGACACCCGCTCGGGTCCGGCCAACGACGGGGGGACGCCCGCTCGAGGTCAGCCAACGACGGGGGACGCTCGCTGGAGTCCGGGCGGCGACGGAGGACGCTTATTCGAGTCCGACCAACGACAGGGGGACGCCCGCTCGAGGTCAGCCAACGACGGGGGACGCTCGCTCGAGTTCAGCCAACGACGGGGGGCGCTCGCTCGAGTTCAGCCAACGACGGGGGGCGCTCGCTCGAGTTCAGCCAACGACGGGGGTCGTCCGCTCGAGTTCAGCCAACGACGGGGAGCGCTCGTTCGAGTTCAGCCAACGATGGAGGACGCTCGCTAGAGTCCGACCGAGTCTGCCAGGGCGCGCCCCTCCCCCCAGCACGGTCAGACTCTCAGAGAGGGCACAGGCAGAGCCCATCCGCGGTCGGTCGGGCACGTCCCGCCACGCACGGCTGGAAGACAAGGCCGCGCCACAGCGGTCGGGTCGGAGAGAAAGCAAGAGCTCGAACTACGACGACCAGCTGCTTACCCCGATGTAGCGCAGCGCGCCGCGAAGGATGCCCAAGTTAGAGGTGCGCTTGTCGTCCAGCACGGGGACCTGGCGGCGCAGCGTTTCGAAGCACTCCTTCAGGTGAGCGCGGCGGTTCTTCTCCAGCTTGTTGTGCACCTCGCGCGTGCCCGCACTGCGGACGAGCGGGGCGGGTCAGCGGCGCGCTCGGCCCGCGACAGTCCGCGCAGGGGACCGAAACACCGACAGCTCCCAGCTCACGGTCGTCCTGTCCTTGTCAGGATGGCCACGCCCGGGTAAGTCCGGCGTCAGCGACTCTTGGCGTGTCGGCTCCGAGGTGGCTGCCACGTCATCCATTGCGGGGCACACTGGCTGGACAAGCACGAAACACACCTGCGCGTGATGCCACCAGCTCTGAGATCACCGCCGCGAAGCCCACGTCATTACTACCCTACATCACGGAAGAGAGAGCCCCCTGCCGCACGCAGCGTACCGTGTGCTCCGCGGCACCTATCAAGCTGCTGTCTGCTGTATGACGGAGGCTCGCTGATATGGCGCATCCGCAATATACATAGTGGTGATCATGACTTCTGACCAAACTCTGCAAAGAAGCCGCTGAGACGCTCCTGAACCCCACACCACCCGGGCACAAGTACGTTCCGCACGTGAGCGATGCCGGTGTGACACGCCCGCACGGGTGGCGACGCTGTCTGCTCCAGCCCGTGCCGCCGCTAACCTCTGGCGGCGTGGCCGAGCGAGCGAGCGCGGTGCTCACCTGACCCGCGCCTTCCGCTCCTGGATGTCGTCTGCGCTGTCGTAGCGGTAAGCTGGCGCCGGCAGGGCGGCAGCGGCAGCAGCGGCGGCGGCGGCGGAGAGTGCGCCGTTGCGCGGCTCGGGCGAGCCGAGTGGCGGCGGGCCGACGGCCGGCGGCGGCGCCACGGCCGGCGACCGCACGTAGCTGTGGTGGGTGGCGATGAACGAGGAGGGCGATCGAGAGGGGCGGCCCGCCGGCGGAGGAGGCGGTGGCGGCGGCGGCGGCGGCGGTGGCCGTCGGCTGGCCGGCGTGTCGAGCGTGACGTCATCGCGACTGTCCTCGTCTGCCGGAGAGGGCGGCGCGTCACAGACCGACCCGGCCGGCCGGCCGTCCGCGTCAGCACAACAGCTACGCCATCAGCTGACACGGGACAGACAGTTACGCCATCAGCTGACACGGGACAGACACCGTGTCGCGGACGGACATCGGCGCAGCCACGCCGCAGACCCACACACAAACACAAACGGGTCCCGTACCAGAATCGCGGCCGCAGGACGCGCATTGCGCATTTCGTTTTGCGCGGCCGGGCCCGGCCAACTTGACACAGACGCATGCTCGCCTGGACGGGAAGGTAAGCGCCGATGCCGACCTGGCGCGTGCAACCGAACCGCGATCGTGCCTTCTACGAATCGAGTCACATTACCGCCCAATTAATGCATACAATAGAATGTACGTGGCAAGGAAACGCAGCAAAGATCAGGGTTTTCTGTTCTTCCTTCATTTGAAGATTTCCCACACGAATGGATTTCATAAGGTAACTGGTAGAAAACACTGCATGTAATAAACCTGTCGCATTTTTCTCAACTGCCAAGACTGCGTCTTCGAAAATAGAAGATAACAGAATACGTCAGTAATAAACCGATGTTTTCAGCTAAGATGGGAACCAAACAACCATTGCAGTCGCGGGCGTCTTAAATAATCCAAATATAAATGAACAGCAACAATCAACAAAAAAAGCGTCTCAATAAAGGCCAACAGCTCAGAACTGTGCGTGGGGTGCAGTCACGCTGCCACCCACACGGGATGCGCCACTCCAAGGTTTGGGATTTGCAGATTACACTTAACAAACGAACGCGAACGAACTGACCGCGGGTCGGGCGTGTTCGCAAGCAGCTGGCCGACCGACGGATGGGGTCGCAAAGGAACACAGACGAATACAAACTGTTGGTAAGAGGGAAACCCCGCAGCATATTGACGATGTTTTAGAGTGAAGGGGGAGTGAAGTTTAGGGGGAGGGTGGAGCTATCTCGATGTTGCGTGATTGGTGTCATGTTCGCAACGTATTAGCCCACCATTTCACCTGTGTTTTTCTGACACAAAGGTGTTGTCTCGCTGCATAACCAGCTGGCCGGCTGGCAGCGAAGTCGCGGACGAACACGAACGAAGGCCAACGAAGAGTGGCTCGTAACCTGTTCGCATCATATTGGCGAACATCCAGCCTTGCATCGCCCAGATTACATGTCCAGCTGACGCGTGTCACAAAGGCTCAAAGGTCAGCTGCACCCTGCGACGCGCCAGCTCGGAGAAGGAAGGCGGAAGCAGCCGCCGACGGACTGCGCTGTGGCGACAATTTTTGACATGCCAGCCCGCCTGTCGCTCAGCCGAGATCTCGCAGCGACAAAATGAGCGCGCTCCTGCGCCAAAGACGTGCACACGTCCCTGGCGGGAATGACCGCGTGCCGCGCCTGGCCAGACGTCACCTCTTACGCAACGGTGGTGTTTTGTGAGTGACCGGTTCTCAACAGGAGCGGTATCAACTGGGCGCCGGACTCTCCGGCATCGCGAGTCAATGCGGAATCGGAGCTTCTGGAGCATTATTTAGTTGGCTGTTAGAAAGGTGAGGCACTATAAAAATACACAGGATGGATGAGCAGTAAGCCAATCAGTGTAATTACGCTTTACTCCCAGACACGTTTCAAAGCACGGATCAATCTATGTTGAGGTCGCTCGGGTGGTGTTCGGACACGCTCCAATAGCACGCCCCAGATTACGTGGAAGCAAAGACGGCATAAATATCGGCGCTGGGATGGCACGTTTGTGTAACAATCCTTTCAAGACAACTCCCTCTGAAGCAAAAACAGATGTGACCGATAATGTGATGGGCGTTACCGATGCTTGTGAGAACACATACAGACGGTGGGTACCAAACTGTCCAAACACACAGAGGGCCGGTCCAAACTATTCAAACTGATCACAGGCAGTGAGAACTTAGTCGTGACAGCAACATGAGTATTACTGTGATAGCATCTATACTGGAATATGGCTGCATCAATGGTCACTAATGCAAGGTGTATGTCAGCAGGGAGAGAAATCCTAGCTGCGGCGCGATTGGAAAACAAGAATGCTCAGACTACGGAACTCTAGCGGATGCTCAGATAAGTGCGGGCGGGCAGCGCGACGTCGACAACCACTCGCGCTGCTCAGACTACGGAACTCTAGCGGATGCTCAGATAAGTGCGGGCGGGCACTACACCGATACCCGTGGATCGCTGCAGAGTAATCAGGCGCCCCGGTACAGCTCCGGTGGGGCACATCCGCCACCTACGAACAGGCCTCACGCCAGCAATCCTGGATTATTTACCGCCGCCTGAACCGCTGCGGTCATTACGGCAGCGGCGCCGAGGCCGGCGAAACAAGCAGCGCTGGCCGCCGCTGGGGACGCGGCGGCGCCAGGAACAACAGTATGCTGGCGACTGGCGGCAACCGCCAGCCAGTGGCGTCCCAAAGTCGGCGCCGAGCAGCCGCGTCGGGGCGGGTCCGGCCAGCCGCGCCGGGGCGGGTCCGACGAGCCGTGCCGGGCCGGGTCCGGCCAGCCGCGCCGGGGCGGGTCCGACGAGCCGTGCCGGGGCGGGTCCGGCCAGCCGCGCCGGGGCGGGTCCGGCCAGCCGCGCCGGGACGGGTCCGGCCAGCCGCGCCGGGGCGGGTCAGACCAGACGAGCGGGGGCGGGCGCCGGGCGGCCACCGCATTCCCGCCCGGTGAGCGCGCCGGACCTTATCCCGCCGCTGCGGACCGGCCGAGGATATCGCCGCGGCGCCCCGGCGTTCAACGGCGGCCTGGGACGCGGTGCGACCTGACCCACGGACGGTCGGGAACCGGGTCATGTCGAGGACGCCGTCGCTGGACCTGCCGCTGCCGCAGTCGACCGGCCCGCGGCGAGCAGCGCCACGTGCCGAGGAGGGAGCCGCGTCCGCCGCGTGCTGCCGCCCACCGAGCGCCTGCTGCAGCCAACAACTCGCCCCGAGCAGGCCGGCCAACCTTGAGCATGGAGCAAACATGTTCGGCGATCGGGCGGGCGAGGTTATTGAATCACACACACCGTCGACCAAGGCCAGCGAGGACGTTGATCCGGTTGTGGTGTCGCAAGCACGCCGTCGCAGCTATTAAGTCAGTCGTGTCCCAGGTCCCAACAAACACGGCGCGGCACAGGGCGGCCCGCTGCCATCGGGTAAAATCTCGCCGCAGACACAGCCAGCTTGAAACGACAGCGAGTGGTGTGCCCGATGCCGTGGCGCCAGCCGCGAGGCAGCGACGGCAGCCCGGGACCCAGTCACGAGCAGGTGGAAGGGTCGTCCTGCCCACCTATTCATGCTATATGTAGATGCAGGCAGCCGGTTTTTCGTTCGCGCGGTGCCTGTCGCCGCATCAAACGGAGAGCGCCGCGCGTGTCTGTCGAGGAAGCGCAGCTTGTCGGGTGCGCCGGAGGAGCCGCTCTGGACGGCGCCTCGCGAGCCGGCCATGCCGACGCACCAGGCGACAGAGCGAGAAACACTCTGTCCTCGTCCGACCGCCAGGAGACAGCGCCGACTGGAGTAGCCACATCGGCCAAACGCCATCGACCGACGATGGCCCGACAACAGGAGACAAACACGAGCGCGCACATCAGGCCGCCGGGCACGGGAGCTCCGCCATGCGCCGGGGGACGACTGAGAGTGGCCTGGCGGCTTTCGAGAGAAGGCCGTCACACAGCAGTCCACGGAGGAGCTGGCGGTCGACAGTGGACAGAACCAGGCACATGGGAGCCGGCTGTCGCTTTGGAAACCCGGAAGACTGCCGACCATCCAGATCTCCCGGACACGCCGGCACAGCAAGTGACGAAACAGGTAACTGAACATGTCATGAAAAGAACAAAGCTAAACCACGGATCGGAAAATGTCAGTTTCGCGGCACGATCGATGAATTGTCGTCGGCACAATCCGATCCGATCCGATCCGATCCTATCCGATCCGGTCCGGACCGAACCGAACCGAACCGATCCGATTCGATTCGATTCGATTCGATCGATCCGATCCGATTCGACCCGATCCGCAAGCTGCGGGCGGCGCTCGGGATGACAAGGAGCCGTGTGATTAAAGACCGCAGCGTCAGGGCACCGTCCCGGATGCTGACCAGTATAACAACGGCGGACCGGAGCACGTGATCAGAGCACCGTCCCGGGTCCTGACCGGTGTCACGACGGCGGACCAGAGCACGTGGCACAGAACTGCGGATACACGTCCGCCCCCCCCCCCCCCAAGCTACCATCCAGCGCGCTGTACCTTGTTTGTACGCGTTGATCCACTTCTTCTTGGGCGGGCACGAGGCGGAGCGGTGCACAGTTTCGGCGACACCCATGGTGGCCAGAGGCTCGACCAGGCCAGGTGACCAGGTCAGTCAGGCGGCGCCGCTCGTCCGACGCGCCGCCCGCACCGGCCGCCGACCCGCGCGCGTCTACAAGCGCCGGCGCGGAGCGGCGCCGCTCGGCTCGGCTCGGCTCGGCTCGGCCGCCGCTGCCGCTGCCGCCTCCCCAGCGCCCCCTATACCACGGCCACGCGACCCGGAGACGGAGCAGCCCGGCCCGGCGCGGCCTCGGCAGGCGGACTGCGAGCGACGGGGTCCAGACGGGAGCCACTGGACTTCTCACTGTGGCGAGTGGCATGCTGACTTGAGCTTGTGTGCTCAGGTGCGTAGCTAAATAGCGGGGGGGGGGATGGGGGGAGGGCGTCATCCGCTCTCATAAGCCAAGAGGTTCACACAAGATACTGAACGATGTTGCAAGGAATTCGGTCCAGATTCAAAAAACTTCACAAAAAGTTTGACATTAGCCTCCTCCTTCCCCGAGGAAATTCTGGCTGCAATCATATGTGGGCTGTGCTGGGGATTAAAGTCCCAAACAACATATTCCAAATAAAATGCAGGGAATTCTGAGCATCTAAATACCAGTCAGGGCTAAGCTATTTGAGAGATGTTTTTATACGATACTGTTGCACATCTTCTTTAAAAAAATGAAGCGAAACAAAAATACCACTATCCAACATTTGATTACTGTCTCAATTACAGGCCATCCTTCCACTGAATATTTCGACAAATAAGGTCGCGTTTTAGGACCGGGCTAGGTCCGCCACACACACTTCGTCACAGCTTTTGTACTGGTTAGTGCTAGAATGTTCCCCCCACCGCCAAGACGGTGTCGTGGACGCGCATGGCACCATCGAGATCTTGTACAGATTCGCATCCACTCCGCTGGCCGCCTTTCTTTCAGAGGTCGCGCAGCCCCTCACAGAGCGCGAACGGGTCACTACGGTCACCACGGCGTGATTTCTCGCGGAAGCCTCGCGGTCACCCAGCGTCTGCGCAGCGTCCGTCGGCAGCCAAACTAGGGTGACCTGCCCTTACTTAGTCTGTCAAACGAGCTCTCGCACCCACCAATCTTCTTTCGAATCCGTGAGACGCGTTGCCAGGTGCGTGACCAGTTATACTCGCCCGCCCCCCCCCCCCCCCCCCTCCCTCGGGCTACTCAGCCATCACTCCCCCGGCCCACTTGCTCGCGTGCAGCCTTGACAGGAATCAGCTCGTTAAAATGTAGCTGCGTGACATGCTTGCTGGGTCCCGTTGCTGATATCTCCCACAAGCACCAAGGTATTCATTAACACAAGGTACAAGGCACCGGTCCATCTCGCTCGTGACTTTCCTAACATAGCATAGCAATGCTTTCGCTCAAGCACTTGCGCTTGGCTATATTATGAGTGGTAGTGTTTCTGTATATGTGCGTGTCTTCTGTGTATGTGTAGTGCTGTGACTGTCGCCTGTACCTGTGAGGAACAGTTCCCGGCGTCCTAAGATACGATCAAAACATTACGCTTGTTGTCAACATCAGCAACCCAATAACCTTTAACTTGATCGCGTTGTGAGTTGACCCGCGTGATGGTGAGTTGAGACAACGTCATGCAGGTGGCCTACCAACAGGACGCCCGTCCCTTATTGCCATCCGAAGTTCGTAAGAACCAGAGCGGCGCATTCCCTTCAACGAAGGCGCCAAACCGAAGACAAGAAAGTCCTGCGAGCTCTCACCGTACTGACAGCCCTGACCATTGCATGGCACTGGCGTTAGCAGAGGCTGAAGGTCCTCGGCTGCCTCAAGGGTCCTGTGATGACTTCTAACCTCGGGCATCGCTAACGGTATGTTCTGAGCACAGCCCACAGCGGCCTTCCAGGTCCCTTGTCATTTTCGCCAACTGAATGTTTTGGAATCCCCACATTCCAGACCACGAGACTAGGAGATGAAAACGGTTATTGACCACTTCGGCGACCACTGGACATTTGGTGGTTTTCCGCCGTCTGCAAGCTTGGGAAAAAATGACTGCCAACGCGGTGACGCTTGTCGTGATCGTAGTCCGACTAACTGCAGCACTTCATCGCTTGAGGTCCGGACGATACTGGAGGTCTCTGACTATCTCGTACACTGCACAAGCTCCTCACCCTCATCACCATCTGCGGGACAGCTTTGAACACGCCTCAGAGCGTTTCTCTGCGCCACAACGGCACCACGATCCTCTCAGCATCGGGCTCTCCCAGCCATGGCCGTGTGACTGTCATTTGACCGCACAATAACCCTTTGATTCACAAGCATCAACCTTTCAGCGACAGGAACCCCGACTGATCAGCCCGACTTTCAGCGATGAGCCTCGACTATATATTGAATAGTGTGACGAAGTCGAGCGCGCGCGCAAAAAAAAAACGTTTATTTTTCCCCTGTGCGTTTATAAAGCTGAAGGTCTCGCGCTTTTGTTTTGACAGCAGCCTAACAGAACCGTGCGCACTGCACTTTAACAGGCGTGCATACCTGGCACTTTACTGTCTCATTGTCAACAGCTGCCAGCGAGCGGATATATGGGTAAAAACATCAAAAATTGAATCCATGGCATACTCATGCCCTCCAGACAATATTTCAAGGTAATGGCAATCGTCCATAATTATGGCACCTGTGCGGGACTTTCAACTTGTTCTCTGCCTCCGTCTTGTCCTGAACACGAAGCTTACCGCCTAGCGCCACCGCAAACTGTCGAGAGGTCAGGATTCGCCTCATCCGGTCAAGGACACGAGAGCCATCGCTACAAAGCCCGGCGTGGTCGGGCCGGACCAGCGGGACGGGAGGGGCAGCTCGGGACAGCAGTCGGACCCGACCAGCGGGACGGAAGGGGCAGCTCGGGACAGCAGGGCAATGCCTCGCCGCCGTGTCCGCACAAAAAGCTGCAATGGGAGGCTGAAAATAGTCGAATGGGAACAAGGTCAAAAGCAAAGTGTCCAACATATAGTCAACGGGGACAAAAGTTGATAGGGATAAAAATGGGATCGGAAAAAGTCGAAGTACAAAAAACAGGGCTGAAAAGAGTTTGATACAGCCAAGAGAAAAGGGCAAATTGGGTAAAAGTTGACAAACAAAAGCCGATAGGGGTAGAAGTCGAATTGGAAAAGCTGAACGGTCGAAAGAAATCGACAGGATAAAAAGTGCAAATGGAAAGAAGCCAAAAGACGACAGCAAAGTCCAAGTATGTAGACATCGGCATGGACAGAGACCAAGCTAAAAAAAAAAAATGTTACACGAAACCACGTCAAAATTACTTTGCCGCTGGCCAAACCCTCCATCAAAGACAATGGCAATTAAGAACCATGCATAAAATTGCGAAATAAAACACTCCGCGTGACGTCTGACGCATCCTGAAGCGATTTTCCTAGCTTACCGGTACATACACCCATACTGGTATATACACCCATGGATCGCCAGCGTAACTATCTATTGCATGCGTGAAAGAACAGAGAAAAGAACAGAATGAGCAGAATGGGCGGATATGCATCGCATGGTGTCGAAAACAGGCAACAATGGTAGGGCTTAGCCTTCACATTTCTGCCCGCGAGCAGACACGGAACCTAGGAACAGGTTTGGATTCCCACGGAAGATTGATCAGAAACCAGGATTCCCCACTTAATTGTGTTGATGGAACCAACAAGAAACAGGATCTAGCTTGACAGTGCGACAAGGAATACAGCAGAACCAAAACAAAGCCTGAAATTGTGCCGAGATATTGAGCAAGAATTTAAGACTCAGCCTGAAATATGGTAAGAATGAAGCACAAAAAATCCGAACTGGAATTATGCCGAGAATTCAGCAGGAATCAAGATACTACATGAGTCAAAGGAGCCAGCGAGAGCCAGATCCTACCTGGAATTAGCGTGGTGAGGTTGTGCGTATCCACACAGAAAACTTATGTGATGATGGTGATGCTGGAGTTTAGGGGCGCTTCAAATACAGTAATTATTTTGCGCCGAACTTATATCATGAACATCGCAATTGTAAATATTGCGGGTAGATATGCAATATGTCTCCAATTTTAGGCGATTTATCTTCAATAGTAGCTGACTGCCAACTGATAACAAGAGCTGGTATTTACGAATGAGCCAATGAGAGGCAGGAACTGGGATCTGGTCCTTCCTAAGCAGACCATCGGGAGTCAAAAACCTGATTCTGGTGTTTGTGAGGAGTCAGTGAGTGACTACGAACCAGGCCCCATGTCTTCGTCCAAAGTCTTTGTGAATCAATCGGTACAAACCATGAACCAGGGCGTGGTGCTGCAAAAGAACTGGTAGGAACCAGGAACCAGGGTTTCGTGTTTGTGGAAAGCCAGTGGGAACCAGGAACTAGGTCCTGGCGTTTAAAAAGGAACCATTTGGACCTAAGAACCGCTTGTTATGGGTTCCTAGGTTATGGATATACGGGTTTATTCGTGGAAGAACCAGTGAGGACCAGGAACCATGGTGTCGTGCTTGAAAAACACCAATGACATTCAGGAACCGGTGGTGGGGTCTATCAAAGAGTCACTCAGGAATCAGTATGTAACATCGCGATTTGAGGAGGGATAAGCGGCCACCAGGAACCGATATTTGGAACCAGGAACATGTCTGACCAGGGTAAGGACTAGTGAAAAAGTTATCTCTGCCGACTGAGTACCCGGAGCGTTTGCCAGGCTGAGCGCCCGGAGCGCTTGCCGACTGAGCGCCCGGAGCGTCCGCCGACTGAGCACCCGGAGTGTATGCCGCCTGAGCACCCGGAGCGTCGACTCACCTAGAGGCGTCCGCCGACTGAGCGCCGGCGGGTTCATATTAGAGCCCAGGGATGGCAGTTGCCCAAACCCCATGGGATCCACAGGCACATCCGAGCGTGAAATCCTGATGTTTCTCTTGCCTTAAGTCCTGTCGTCCTTCTGTGTGTTCACTTTAAACCCAACTGCCTTTTGCCCATGTCGGACTTTGTACTGCATTGTTGACATTGTTCGCACTTGCATTGCATTGCATCACCCTTTGCATTGTTTTCCAATCTGACTTTTATCCCCGTCGATATCTATCTCTTTCGAATTCTATTCCTACACTTCTCGATTCGA